GCATTATGCAAATATTCCCACATAGTGACCTAGATATGTGGGGGCGTGTTAGAACGAGCCGTTTTAGGGGGGTGTGGCAGAGTCTTAACTTTGATAAAGAATATCTCTTTGGTTTTGAGACTTTAGTCTTTGCAACTTCAGGGATCTTATCTATGCACAATCAGCTTGTAACACTCCAAAGAGAAAGGAAAACTTGAAATCGCATCATATGACCCCTTTAAAAAAAATCTTACTGTTCAAAAACTTTTGACTGGCAGTGTGCATAAATATGTAAATGTATTTTTAGTATACTTAGCATGAAATAAATGTATTTCAAATACATTTTTAGTAGCCTATATTTATTTTTCACTAGGGCTCACTCTTAAACACATCAAGCTGGAGTCTTGAAATACAGGCAGAGTGTTCTGACAAACAGTTACATGTTAATTTGCTCCTGGCAAATGCAAATGTTTCTCTTTAGAAATGGAACAGATTTTATGTCCCAGCTGTTTAGTCTTCCAGATAGATTCAGTCAATAATCGATGGATGGGTCAGGTTGGTTTAGGTTGTGTTGGTATATAGCTAGTGTGAGCTGTGTTGGGAAGCTACTTTAAAATAAACTGTATAAACTCTATTTAGTAGATAGTCTAAAGCTGTACATAAAGATACTTTTCTTTTTTTTTTAAAAAAGTAGTACAAGATACTAACCAAAATAAGCTTATTACTTGGAAGCTATTAAAGAGCTGTTAAATGCATTTATCTTCATATACCAGATTATACTTTTTAATTGGGCAGTTATTAAAACATGTCAGTTGGGATGACATTAAAAACTGACTCATGAAAAGAGGAGAGAGGGGCTAGAATCTTTTATTTAAGAAAGCACATATGATTATATAGCCTCAGCTCGCGCTGCGGTAAAGCTGTCAGCACAGCAAAATGATTCAAAAGGCAGCAATGTAGTGTTTTGTCATGCTACACCGTTTTTAAGTTGGAAACAGTAGCTTGTTACTGGAAAAGTGACCTATTTTGAAAAACACTGAGCTACTGTTACACTGCTGAAAAATGTAGCAAGTAGCGTCACTGCCTTCAGATCACCATGCTTAGAGATGCTGCAGTTTCCAATGCATTTAACAACTGTTTGTGGCTTTGTGTGATTCCAGAAAGTTATAAATGTGAGAATTGCCCTACAGGATGTAGCAGCATTAGTTAGCTGGTGTTCAAATGGTGCTCTATGCAGCACAAATGCATTAGCGTGGATATAATTCTTTACCATCGCTACCTCCCCTCCTTGCTGCAGTGTGGGATGCATTGCCCGCATTTCTTGATAGCGTCAAGCCCTTTGATGCGCTGCGCAGTCTCGTTCAGATCACACGAGCGGTGTAAACGCTCACATGTCCCTCCAGTATTTACATGGCTCTGTATTTAGTCAGAGAGCGATCAAAGCACAGCATGCCGCAGATAGATGGACACCCCCCACCTCTGTGTGCGAGCGAAACGCAGATGCATTGACGACACAATGCCGCGCGCCGTGCTTTCCTAGCGCCTCTCTCACTTTTGTGCTGCTTGCACCTCTGAGAAACACTCATGCTTATCTCTCCCTCCCTCTCTCTCTCTCGCCCTCCCTCCCCTTCTGTCCTCCTCTGTCTCTGTGTCTCTCTCTGTCTCTGAAGGAGTAATGGAGCGGATCACCATGTAGACAGCAGCCGTCGGGAAGCAGGTAGAATGGGAAACCACGTATGGAGAGCCGCCGGTCTGCAGCCGTGGTGAGCGGAGACATCCTCAGGACTTCAGCCGGGATCTCGCGGATGGCTGTCGCGTTCCCGCTCACGTAACGCCGAGGAGCCTCTCGTCAACTGCGGACAGCGGACAGGATCTGTTTTCTTCTTCATCCTCTTCTCTCACCTGCTGTTCTCTCCTGCATTGCTCTCGTTTTTTTAGACACCTGTTCTCCAGCCGCACCAGGGACTCCTTCTCTGCCCCGTGCGGCGTTTTCTCCATTTTTCCTATCCGCTTTGAAGAAAAGCTACCAAGCAATACTCAGCCACCATGGGGGACATGACAAACAGCGATTTTTACACCAAGAACCAAAGAAACGACAGCAACCATGCGGGGGGATTTGGATGCTCGCTCATGGAGCTGCGTTCCCTCATGGAGCTCAGAGGAACGGAGGCGGTGGTCAAAATTCAGGAGGACTACGGAGGTGTTGAGGGACTGTGCCAGAGGCTGAAAACCTCGCCGACAGAGGGTGAGTGTGTGCTGTCTCATGCCACCGTCACAATCATCCCGCATGAACTCGCTCCCGAGCGGTGACACGCTTTCAAATGCTAATCATTTCCATTCCTGTATGCTGTGAGATCTCTCAGACAGGTTCTTCCCCCTCAGACCTGCTGCTGATGCTGTGGAGTTATTAACTAGGATGTGTCTCCCAGGCAACAGCACAGGGGTCAAACTAAATTTGCTACTTTGTACAATGATAGTGTTGCTGGGTAGAAGAAGGCATGCATGCTTCTCCATATGGTTTTAATTACAGATGAAATGACTACAGGATCCATTCTTGCGCATTTTCTCGCATCGAAAATCAGCCGCATCACCATTAGAGCAGAAAGGCGCTTGCTCGCGTCCGTTGGTAAAATGATTGGCGTCTTTATTGTGGCATGATTTGTTATGGCCTGACAGTGGTGCGTCTGTGCTATCCAACGCATGCACCATTTGATCTTCTACTGTTGGAAACGTCGACATTTAAAACACGTAGCTGTGTGTGATATATGTGTAGGAGTAGATAGCTTGTTATAAATGTCATGTATTTCCTGTGTTCCACCATATTGTGAATTCAAATGACTTCTAAAGTGGCCTTCAGTAGATGTGTTCCCCACAACAACGCTAGAGCACTAGATTGATAGATCTGTCAGCTTGGAGGACAGCGTAATCTTGCCTTCTCTGCAAACTATGTGTTTGGTCTGAGTGTTAGGAACATGTTTAGGAGCAGGTTGTTGCTCTGCTCTGCTGGAGTGACTTGTGCTGACACCCCAAGTGTGACATGATAATGAAGACAAATGGTCACATCTAGTCTTGTTAACAAGCTGAGCAGTTATGCCTTCTCTCTCAGTACGCAGTCACCACTACCCAGCAATGACCATTTAGCACTATCATACACCACCACCTAAGATCCTTTCTTCCATTTTTCACTAGTTCAGCCTATTTTGAGTCAAGATGCTTTAGAAAGAAATGTTTAGCAGCTTAAACCACTCACAGACATACTCCCCTCCAGTTACTTTTAAAAGTAATGCATTACAATATTGCATTACTCCATAAAAAGTAACTAATTGCGTTACTTAGTTACTTTTTATGGAAAGTAATGCATTACATTACTTTTGCGTTACATTTTGTCACCTGGGCCGGGCTTGCTTATTTATTTTTAATTAAAAAAAAAACCAAAAGTCATATTTTTGGTGACTGTAAAGGTCCTTTCACAACAAGGGCCAGTTGCATAAACATAGCCACTATGTTAAGACTTTGTCTTAAGAACTAGTTTGACTAATTAGCAGTTAGTCAAGAGGATAATCAGTTTTACTTTTCTCACTCAAATTGGGCCAATCTACATTTTTGTAACTGGATTTTAAAAGTTATGACCAGTTTGAATGAAAACAAATTAGATGACACATTTTTTAAGACTAGTCTTAGTAGTTTATGCAGCTGGCCCCAAGAGAGAAATTAATAAGCCTCAGGCTGAAGAAAATGCCTCTGTCTCTGCACTTACTCCTAATTTCTCTCAACACGGGGACAGGAAAGTTGACAGTGAATAAATAGGAAAACAAAGCAACTTGCGTTACTTATTTGTAAAAGTAACTGATATTTTCTTGTTAATTTAAAAGTAATGCGTTACTTTAATAGTTACTTGAAAAAAGTAATCTGATTACGTAACTTGCAATACTTCTAATGACCTATGCATTACCTAAAAAAAAACTATTCAAGCTGTTCAATGAGCAAGAAAGAGAAACCAGTACATGCAAGTTAACCAGGTCCCCACCAACTGATCTACCAGTCCCAACAAATCTTGACATCGGCCTCTTCAGCTGGTCATTCAGCTTGAACCAAATTATGTCCAGATTTGACCAACTGGGATCCATGTAACAGCAGCCAGTTGCAACTGGATTTTCCTGCAGGGCGGGAGGCATCCAAACAGTGAACACACTCCAGACACTAATGTGTAACTTTATCCCTCTTCGATTCCTTCAAGAGCTTCAGTCAATACATGTGCCTTTAATCTATGCTTACCTTACTCATACTACAATCAATGATGAACCAGGGCTGATGGTCAGCTCATCTCTGCTGAGTAAAGAAATTGCTCTGTAAGGACAACACGAGTCTCCCTGGATCCCCCTGGATGCTACGGTACATTACGTGGGTAGTATTGAGCCGCTAAAGCGCCCACTTTTCCCGAAGTTGTGGGTGTTGGCCACTCTCACAGAGAGAGTTCCTGGCAGATGGGAGCTGAGCGAGATATGGAGGAGCCTGGCGACCTCCCAAGAAAAGAGAAAGCATCTCCTTCAAGTCCGCTCGCTTCAGATAATGCTGCCGCTAGGCCAGACGGATGCCACACGCCATCTGAAAGCCTGCAGGTCGAGGTACAGGTAACGAGGAATAATCAGAACCGGGGAAATCTTTGAAGGATGAGGGAAGGGTTGCTATTTTTACACAGTACAATGAGGAGGAACAAATGACTAAGTCCATTCGTTCAGACAGCCGGAAAGACACTTCTGTCTTCATTGCAACCACGGTAAACTATTTGCCGTAGAGGTGGGCTAAGGCATGACAATGCCAAGCAGCTATTGCATGCTAATGGTCTCAGTGTACTGTGCCCAGCACCAGCTGCAAGCCGGCCAGAAGTGTCTGTTCGCTCACCGTGACTGTCCTCCCCCATGCCTTCCTCTGTTCTCATTTCTATTTTAGTCTGATGGCCCAACTCACTTCGACGCAGTGCACATCCTTACCCGAATTAGCCTGTTTAAAAGTAACCAACATTTAGACTAATCTCTCCGCTCATGTTTCGCACATCCTGATGTGTCTCCTGGCTAATTCATAATGAAATGAGAGGTAAAAAATCTCCCGAGCCTGGCCCAGTGCAGCTGAGGTGTATTAAACACATAGATGTGAAACTTTTAACCTTGGCGCTTAATAGCACTCTGGCATTGAATGCGAATGCTTCTGCTGCTGAGGAGAAAATGCTAAATGCTGCTAATAGCCAATTTTTGTGGCAATTAAAATGGAAAGAAACAGAAGGGCTGTGAATATTGGGAGTGAGACACTCCATGTAATCCAATGCCGCATTTAAACGGTAAGAGGCACTGAAGGTCAAAGCGAGCTGGCAAAACATCCCAGAGCCAAGCTGCAAACACAACATGACCACAGCTCACACAATGAGCATCAGTGGGCCAGCTCCGCTTATCAGAGCCACCGCTTCACCTGACCGATCCCTGGCGACGCTTTGACATTGCGCTGAAGGACCCAGTTCTGGAGCAATGACAACGGCTGTTGGCTACCGGATCACATGGCTGCTTAAACACTGTCCCACCTTAGCTAGGCTGTGCCCTCGTCCCATGCCCTTGATCGGCACGCTAATCTAGTCCACCGGTCCGCGTTCTCATTCCCCTCTGACAAACCTATTTAGTCTAGGGTCCCAGCAGGAATTGCTCAGAAGGAGTACAATCTCCTCTAATAAGGACAGTAGTGCTGCCCTGATTCCAGCAGCCATTCTTAAAAGGAGAAAGCACTTCCCTCAGAGGACAGATTATAAATAAGAGACCAGGCCACATTTCTCCTCTTCTGAGAGACAGATGCTCCTGAATGGATGACTTTGGAGGGTAGTTCGAGTCGGTGATGTTGGCACAGAAAAGGTGATGCATGTAACATGATCAAGGGCTTAAGAGCGATCTGAAAAGGCTCGGGAACACATCGCAGACCTTATTAGCCTGTCTCATGAATATTAAGTAGTAACGTCAGTCAGTAGTTGCAACTCATTTGCTGAAATACAGCGAGTGCTAGGCGTGTTAGGATTACTGTTCACACAAAATA